AAAAAAAAAAAAAACACAAATAACCCAATCAATAAATGGGCCAAGGTTCTGAAGAGACACTTCTCAGAAGATGATGTACAATCAACAAATGCATGAAAAAATGTTCATCATCACTAGCAATTAAAGAAATGCAAATCAAAACCACTCTAGGATTTCATCTCACTCCAGTCAGAATGGCAGCTATTATGCATACAAACAACAATAGTGTTGGTGAAGATGTGGGGAAAAAGGTACACTTATTGCTGGTGGGAATGTAAATTGGTGCAGCCAATATGGAAAGCAGTATGGAGAGTTCTTGCAAAATTGGGAATAGAACCACCATTTGACCCAGCTATTCCTCTTCTCAGTCTCTACCCAAAGGACTTAAAAACAGCATTCTACAGGGATACAGCCACATCAGTGTTTAAAACAGCACAATTCACAATAGCTAAACTATGGAACCAACCTAGATACTCTTCAATAGCAGAATGGATGAAAAAAAATGTGGCATATATGCACAATGGAATATTATTGAGCAATAAAAGAGAATAAAATCATGGCATTTTAGGTAAATAAATGTAGTTATAGAATATAATGCTAAGTGAAGTTAGCCAGTCCCCAAAAACCAAATGATGAATGTTTTCTTTGATATAAGGAGACTGATTCATAGTGGGATAGGGAGCAGGGGAGCATTGGAGGAATAGACAAACTCTAGATAGGGTAGAGGGGCTGGAGGGGAAGGAGGGGGCATAGGATTATTAATGATGGTGGAATGTGATGATCATTATTATCCAAAATACAGGTATGAAGACATGAATTGGTGTGAATATACTGTGTATACAGCCAGAGATATGAAAAGTTGTGTTATATATGTGTAATAAGAATCGTAATGCATTCGCTGTCATATATAAATAAAAAACATTTAAGATCATAAACAACATTTTTTAAATTTTACTATAAAAATCAACTTTTTGACACATCTGCTTGTTTTTATGAACTTTTGCTTTGAATCACCTTCAGCTGTTCAGGGAACATGACTGCAGGATCTTAACTTGATGAGGCAAATTTATCCACTTCTTTTTTAAGGAATTTGTCCTTGTTTATTTAAAATGTAAAGATTTTCACACATGCATTCTTCTGTGTTTGATTTTTCACATTTTTTTGCAAAATGTCTTCTTAATGGAAAATACAGTGATGAAGGGCCTTAACTATTTTCCTTGTATTGAGAATATAAATAGAAATAAAATCTCTTTCCTTTGCACTAGCCCACTGAGACATACACACTGAAAGCAAAAGCCACTGCCAACCCACTCTTGTGGAACAGGAGAGAGATGATGTCATTGTTTTAAATATTGACATATAAGCATACAAAATCCTGAACTGAAACAGAATGTTTAATTCTAGTTAGCAAATGATAGTTCTATTTTAATACTTCTTCCCCCACTGATCTTTAAATGGTTGCTATTAGAAAAGGGGCATTGAATTGCCCCCTAAGCTCCAGAATTAAAAGCTTAAAAATTCATAACAAGTGTTTCGTGTTTCATCTAGAGAGATCATGGAACCAGGATCCTCCCCCAAGGCAGAGCCCAGACTTACACACAAAGCCCAGGGCTGCCAGGCCTAGGAGCAGCACCAAGCACAAAGTCAGTAGTGTGAGGGCCACTGGGCGCCAAGCTGAAGAGGGAGTCCTTTGCTCTGTAGGGAACAAAAGAGAAAGAAAGGTTGAGCTTTTCCTCTTCTTCCATCTAAGTCAGCAACCAGCAAGTAGGAGGAGGTGGTTCTGGACAGGAAAAACCCTGCAGGACCTGGTCATCAGGTCTAGATAACTTACCCTTTGTCCTCAGAAACATGGTCACAAGGCTCAGTAAAACCTCACTTTTCACAACTAGAGTTGTTCACAAGTCCCACCCTTTCCTATCCTCCCCTCCAGTCCTACTGTGCTCCAAATCACAGTGTATACAACTGTTATCTTTATGTGGTTGTTTTTATAACCTCCTGCTTGTCAAAATTTTAATGATGAAAAATTCTCCTAAAAAATGCCTGAAACAGAGTTTGAGACACCTGAATCTACTAAAGAACAATTTTTAACATCATCAAAGAACATATGAAACTAATTTAATTTCACTTCTGTAATATGTGACTCCCCCGACATGTCACATGTATCTTTCTTCTGAAAAGCAAATTACATATCAGTAATGAGAAATGACCATTTTACACTTTTTCTTTGGGGTTTCTTGGTCCTTCTTTTGCAAGGATGCTTTTTATTCATTCATTTCATTTATATTGCCTCAAAAATAGAGTAAATAGAAACATAATTATCAAATTTCTCAAAGACAGATTTGAACTATTTCAAATTTTGTAGGAGTTAAGTAATAACAGAAGAGGAGGAGGAGAGGAAGGAAAAGGGGGAGGAGGAGAAGAGAAAATTCCCTGCTTCCATTTCTATAAGTTTGACTTGTAATTACAGAAGTGCCATTGTAAGTCCTGAGTAGACCTATCACCTAGTGAAGTCATCTATGTGGGTCTGAATGACCACAGCTCTAACAGGGAGAACTTCAACTCAGAGGGAGTTGGCATCTGGAATTCTGAGTCAAATTAAACAAAAGGAGAAGGAAACCCTCAAACTCTGACTTTTTTGTGATCTCTGAGTTCTACTTCATTGAGAATTCAACTCAGGTTCTAAAACTAAGAAAGACTAAAGAAACACAAATTCATTTCCATCTAACAAGAACCTCTATAAAAAACATTCTAGGCTCAAAGATTTGCACTAAACATTATTTCCAAAGGGAGAGAGATAAGTGGTAAAGACTGTAGAAATAGGAAATACAATTACTAATCTCTTAAAATCTACAAAGGAAAATGTTTATATCACAGAAAAGACATGCTGTATTTTAAAGCATGAATCTTATTCTCTCTTCATATTTGTATTCTTCATAAATAGCTTGAATTATACTTTGAAAATGCAAATCACTTTTCACAGTTTGCCCTTTTTAAAAAAATGGCAATTTTATTACAATATTTCCTGACTTAAAAACTTCCAATAGTTTTATTGCACTTGGAACAAAAATCCCACAATACAGTCTTTTCATCTAGACCCTACCTAGTTCTCTTATTCTTTTCTGAACCATTCTCCCCTTTCTCAAATGCTCTATTCCCAGTAGCCTTCTCTTCTATTCTTGGTCTGAATGAGCTTGCCCCTATCTTTGTACCTCCTGCTACAATGGCCTCTGCCACTGCATTAGTTCTTCCTCAGATTGATTCTTGGCAGCCTGTTACCTGTTCCTCTGCTTTCAGTGTAAAGGGCACATCCCTAGAAGAAGGGCTGACTCCATCTCTAGTACAGTACTCACCTTGGTGTGTGTGTGTGTGTGTGTGTGTGTGTGTGTGTGTGTGTTTAATAAAAGTATTAGGTAACATTTTCATGACAGGTTGGTTTTTGTCTGTCTCCCTTTCCTCCAAATATGCATTCCATTAAAATAACCATCTCATCTGTCTTGTTCACTAATTATTTCCAATACTGAAACTAGAATATATCCCATAAAGGTAGTAAACATTTGGTGTTTAGATTTTAAAAAAAAAAGAATGAAATCATGAAAAAATAGCCCCTAAACTATGTAAGTATACAGAAGAAGAGAGTATTATCTAAAGTTAAATTTGACAGGTTGATTTTCAAAAAGCTATTTTTTTAGCAATATTTCTGTCAGCAGAGGGCAGAGTCAGCAAAATATAAGTCCCAATCCTATAGGTTTCTATTCAGTGACTTGCGTGAGATTCTGTGTCCTGAACAAATATAAAAGATGCACTTCCTCTAGGTGCCCTTCAACCAGCTGACCTATATGGTTTATTCTACATTTTCCTAGAAAAGTATGCTTTCTTCAGGGCATAGACTTTAAGAGAATTTCAGATCAAAGAATGGAAAAAAAAAAACAAGATCAGAAGTAGAACATAACTTAGGCCAAATATCTCTAAAACCCTAAACATTTTTAAAGTTAAATATAGTCCAAGAAAATTTATTTTATCTCAAGTGTTCATAATCATGCTGAAACCTTTCTCTGGGGACCACTCCCACTCTAAAATAAATGTATATTCCTAGCTTCCAGATGTACCAAGTGCTTCATGTTTTTTTCCTTCATATTTCTTATTACCTTTAAAGATATATGACTCATTTATTTCTTTTGTTTTTTTATCTATCTTACCCCACTAGAAAGTAAACTCTTGGGCTAGGGTTGTGGCTCCATGGTAGTGTGCTTGCCTCACCTGCATGGGGCATTGGGTTTGATCCTCAGCACCATATAAATAAAATAAAATAAAGGTAAACATTTTTTTTAAAGTAAAACTCTTTCTTGGAAAAGATTAAAATTTAAATAGCCACTATTGTAGTCTGGCAACTAGACCAATAATTGAAATAGCTCAAATAATGTTCAGTGAATTAATGAATGTCTATTCTGTATCTCTGTAATATGCCTGGTTACCCCTACTAAACCTTATTATGAATATATATCTCAAAGTCATAAAAATTAAAAATTATATCCCTTTTTATGACTAATATTTCCCTGGACAAAATTAGAAATTTAAAAAAAAAAGGAAAGGAGGAGAACTATAAAAATCAACCAAATTATTTATGCTTTCCCTTGGATAAAATTATGGACAAGGGAAGTGTTGATTTTCTGCCTAATGAACCAAAAAGAGTAAACTTAAATCTTTACAATAATGTCAGAGCCTTGACTTTAGATATTAGAGCATTATTTAATAATATATCCATGAAAAGAACAAATACATGATCCTTCCTGAAATTTCCTCTAGGACAGAAAAATAAAGTATAACATGTCTTCTGCTAAGAACCAGTTTTTTTAAAAATCCCTTCCAAGGAATCATCTTTACCTGATCAAGTTTTGCATTTGAAATCTTTCTTTCCTCCTCAATATTCATAATACATCCCTGTTTTATCTAAAGACCCAGAGAAATCTAACCTTGGGGTGTTTCTACACCAGTCATGGTCATGTCCTAGGAAACCAAGCTTCCATGATGGAAAGACCATGAACTTGAACGTTTCACTTTTCCTTCAATGCTGTTTTCCTCTCTAATGTTTTTCTTCTAACTGTTAGTCCAATGTTCCTGAGTTTTATCTCAAGTGTTCCTAATCATGCTGAAGCCTCTCTCTGGGGACCACTCCCACCCTAAAATAAAGAGAGAGATTTTCACAAAAATAAGCCAGGAGGTGCATGAGTTTGGTTTGGCTCTAATGTGGTTTTATTTTTTGGAAGAGAATCCCTACACTGTCTCCTGAGGCATGTTTAGAAAGAGGTGTGGACAGGCCAAGGAATGATATAAACATCCCTAGGAATAATAAGATATATATAGAAAAAAAACACTCCTTTCCTGTATCCTCTTACTATAACCATACTATAAAAGGCTACAGTGTCAGGGTCAAGTTTTGAGTACAAACTCCTTTGTCATTATATGAAATTTTATGGATAAAGGGAGTTGTCATATTTGACCAGTTACCCTTCATCAGGTGACAGAGAGAGAAACCTTTACACTTCTCCAAGCCCAGGGCCTGCAAGAAATTAAGCAGACAATACACAAAATGTTCTATGTCTCTGAACTATAAAGGGTCTTAACAGCTGGAAAACAAAGAGAATTTCAATAATTTGCAGAGAGCCACATTACAAGATTTTGTGATTCCCCCAAATTATCCTTATCTAAAATTTAATACAAAATTGGCACCTCATCGTTTCCTCTGAACTCTTGCCTCTTAATTTTACTCCTTAAAGGTTGTATCTCTGACATGTATACCAGGCTAGTGCCTGTCTCTCTGCTGGTGGATCTTTGCACCTTGGTCCTTGCTAGGGAAAAGTGACCAAGTGCCACATTTTGCTTTGTTTAGAAAACTTGGACTGATTCAGATTCAGAGCACCTGTCTCCTTATCTAGGAAGATGCAAAACTAGACACAGTCAGTAACACATTCATTCCTGTGTGCCTTCTATGCCTCTGGTATGCATTCAGTAGCCCTAAATGACATTGTATTAGAATGATTGTTTCCAATTATTCCTCCCATTTTTCTAAGTGCCTCAAAACCAAGGCCTTTCCAGAGCCTACCATAATGTTTAGTATTCAGTGGATGTGCTTCAAAGATTTGTTGAATCAATGGGGTGTGATTCGTGCCATGCGGCTGCATGAGGGGTTTATACTGTAGTTAAGGAAACAAAAGTAAAAAGCTGGAGGAAAATGCAATAATATTGTAATTAATATGAGTAGGAAAAAAGTCGAAATTGAATTTATTATTAAGTGTTGTTTTAATTTTTTTTTTTTTTTACTATTTTTGCTAGGATAACGTTTAGTCTTTAGCTAGAATCTTTGTCCATCTGTCACTTCACTCTCTCGTCACCATGTTAATGTGAAGTTAGTCTTCTATGCTTCTTTTCAATCTATGATTAAGTTAGAATCTCTTGCACCTTAAAAAAGTAATTTTAAAAAGCCTTCGCTCATTCCTATAATAATTCACCAATTACTACTCAGTGTCCTTGGCTTTCCCATTACTTTTGAATTTACTATTTCCTGCCTTCCTCGATGCCTCTCTCTCCCCCAGCTCCATACTCCACCCCTCTCTACTTCTTAGTCCTAGAAGCTCTTGTTGGATCCTCTTGTTCTTCCTGTCCTTCAGTTGTTGCTATTCCCCAAGCTCCTCTCCTTGTCACTATTCTTCTGTTCTATTGTCTTTTCATTTTACAATCCCTCCCTCCCTGTGTGATCTCACTCACTCCCATAAATTTAAGTACTATTTATTTTACTTCATTGCTTAAGCACTTGTTTATTTATTTAATAAGCCGGTAATTTCTACATATATGTGTAGCTCAGAATTCTTACCACAAGCCCACATCCTTCACATACCAATGTCTTTGGACAACCACAAATGCATATCTTGCCTCCAACCAGACTACCTTAAAGCCAGACTGAATTTATTACTTTTTTCTGTTCCTCCTAAAGTTTCTGGCCCTCTCCATAGAATATCTGACAGACTTTAGCCAACCTACAGTTGATGCAATTGTAGGTTGACTTCTTACATGCAACTGAACACCAATCTTTAAGCGCTTTCTCCTCAACATCTCTCATATCTGATTCCTCTTCCTCCTTCTTAACCTACTACCTCAATTTAGGTACCCAGATCAGTGAAAACACTGGGTGCTGGCTTATCCAGTTCCATATCCCTTCAGTTCATCCTCTTCATTTTAGCCTACAGGATCTTCTAACTGCACATTTTATGTTTATCTCTGTTTAAATCCTTCATTGATCTCATTTTAACAATTGATGGAATTTAAACACCTTTGTATGACCTAAAAGTCCTAACTAACCAGACTTTCCTTTCACCAGTCTCCCCCTCCAACTTGACATGTATCTTTTCCTGTAGGGTCCCCAACCCTGAACCTCTGCTCCTGATTCCTCATCACGTGGAACATCCTAATGTCAACTCGGTGCAATGCTCACTCCCTCTCTCAAGTCATTCCTGATCTCCTTTATCCCTATCAGAGAGAAGTCAGACAGTCATTTGTACCCAGCACATGCTTCAACCACAGCATGCCATTACAATTGTAGCTTAGTTGAGAATGGTATTAGACTAAGCTGGGATTATATCACATTTGACATTGTATCCTCAGTACTTTGCAATTGCCTGATATAACAGTACCCTAAACATGAGTTTATGGAAAATGTGTAAGGGGTTTCATTTTTATTTTCTATTTTGTTGGTATTTTTAGCATAAACACAATTGAGATTTATGATTTTGAATGAGAAAATCAAAATCTGGACAATAAATGTATGTGCCAATTCACAATTTTGCCACAGCATTATATTGACTTTGAATATTCTGTTGCCAAAAAAAATTTCAAGAGTTATCATTGCCATTGTTTTTAACACAAAGTTATATCAGATATATTTTCTTAAGAGACTTTCATAGTGACCTTCTTCCAAATATTTGCATTATCACAAGAACATAAAAACAAGATATCATTTATGTAGGCTAAGGTAACTATTTCCAGATGTTTGCCTCCAAGATACTTCTTTGTAATCTCTGCTCCTAACTGTTCTGATTTCCATTTCTTACAAAGAGACTGCCAAATGCTGCATTTGTGTTTTATCTTGCTACACCCCTCTCTCCATCCTCCAACCTTAACAGAACTTATTTGTACACACTGTTCCTGCTTATGCTGATCACTAATCCTTGTGAGAGTTCCTGGCTCCAGTCAGAGGTGAAAAATGTAGTTAAACACAAGCTGCTCAAAACCAAAGCCATAAGAACTGATTCTTCATAACATTTGTAGAAGAAAAGCATTTAGTATCCTATTACACACATCCTGTGGCTACAGAAACCACATCTCTCCTGTTGCCCCTTAGCTTTAGGTCAAGGAGACTGGAAATCCCCCAATGTTCCCTGACAGCTTACTGAATAGTTTAGTTGAAAAACAAAAAGCCGTTATCAGTGGGACTCAGGTGGAGGGTCATTTATGCATAGAAAGTGAATGTAACGGTTTAGTGTAGGGAAGGGGGAAAAAAAACTAAAGAGAAAAGGAAAAAAAAAAAAAAACTGTGAAAAAGGGTCTGCCCTGATTTACAGATGTGAGAAAAACCTGGATATGGTCAGAAGGGAAATGACATGTTAAGATACAAGCATCAAATAAGGATCTCTCTGATGCAGACTGACACTAAAATGTTAAACAGAACACTGTAGTGATTCTCAAAGTATTAAATATCAAAAGGAAGTTCACATTTTTGAAGTGTCTGTGATATATCAAGTACTTTACATCATTTACCTCTAAGTATTCATGGCCACTTTATGGAAGGTTTTGCCACTTTTGTTTAATGTTAGTTAAATTTAATATGAACTAATATGCCGTAAAACACTTAAAACAATACCAGACACAGCAGAAGCACTAAATACCCATCTACTATCATTGATGTTTTTTAAATACACTTGAAGCTCAGAACACTTAAGTACTGTGTTCATGATCACAAAAATGGTAATGGCATAGCTCACAGTAGAACCGAGAACCTAGTTCTATGTACAGTACCATGTAAGCTCTTCTCTAGAATTAAGTCACTTCTGCTTTAGATGGCTCAGTCATCAAGGGAATAATGTAGGTGAACTATGAAAATCAATGGAATTGAAAAATTTGTATTAATGTATCATAGGATGAATGGTTATAAATAAAATGATTAGATAGAAGTCATATGCAACTAAAATGAGATATTTTCTTACTCTGATAAACCTTCTCAATAAGATCAATAGAGTTGAATGAAAATAGAGATTGCAGTAATTGAAATCTGAGGCCACTATTTAAATTATCAAATCATGGAATTTGGAGCTAAGGGGATGCCTCAGAAGCATTTATTTTAATCATCCCTCATTTCACAGACAGTAAAACCAAACACCTGATGTTGTCATGACTCTCCCAAGATCTTGCAGCTTCAAAATGCAAAATTATTATTACAAAATACCAGGGTTAATTGGTTCATTTGGAAATCTTCCTTTTAAAGCCATGAGTTCAACACGAGCTTTCATTTATCTAAATTTCCAAATCAGATCGCAGATGGTAAAAATAAAAAAAGAAAAAGCAACACTTGATTTGGTCTTCATTGGAAGAAAAAGGGGAGGGGATGTTGCTTTAATATGCATACAGTTTGACCTTTGTATGCTATTCCTTCTCAGAAAATTTGACAACCCCTCCACTGCAAACCACTGTGCTAATAGGATTTCAGAAAACAAAACACCTGTGAAGAGACTAAGTTTTTTTTTTTTTTTCAGTTGTTTATATGTGGCACGTTCAGTTCCGGAAAGTGCAGAGTTACTTAGCACTGCAAATCTTGAAAATATTTCCTCTTCCCTCCACTTTGTATATTCCTAAGAGAGGTACCTCATCAAATACGTTTTCCAAAGCTCTGTCTGCTTGAACTCCAGGAGATGAGAATACCTGCTTGCCTGGGCTCTAGCTGCCGGGTGATAGTTGAGGCTTGAGAATACAGGCTCATGGTGGTATCCCCATCCTCATCCAGCATGTCTCTCGAGCTGCTGTATTTGGCCTGCATCCAGATTCCTGCAGGGCTGAAGGTGAAGATGCAGTCAGATTGCCCCAAGCTGCCTGGCTACTGTGAGATAGCTCAGGAAGCCAGGCACTGAAAGGCATTCCGAATGTCCTCTCCCAGCAAGCAGCAGGGGAAGCCTCTGACTCCAGTTCCTGCCGGGAGAGGCCCAGCCCCTCCCCTATGAGCTTGTACTCTGAATGCCAAGTTGGTCAGGCTGAGGGGAAATAGCATGTGTTTTCTGTTTGGACAGTCTCAGAACAGTTATTGAAACGGTTGCCCTTCTCAAACCTCCTTTGTTTATCTGTTTGCACTTCTTATGAAACTGCAGTGTAAAGATGGTGAGACCTTACAACAATAGTACTGTGGTTTCTTCAGACCCTAAAGTCAGGAGGACACTTGTTTCCCAGTTTTTCTCTCCATCACACATTCACGGAGTCATTTAAATGTTTAACTCTCTGTGCCTTTGTGGGAAGAGATGAGACTCTGGACTAGCTTCTTCCTGTCTCCAAGGGCACAGCGTAAGGCATCATATACATGGAGTTTCAGCACAGAAGAGTCCTCTTGAGAGCATCCGATTCATTCTATTCTTTCATTTTACAGAAAAGGAAATTGAAGCCTATCTAAGTGAAGTGATTTGTTCAAAGTCACATAGCTGGTTAGTGGCAGAATTACCTTTAAAAGTGCTCTCCTATTGTCAACTCAATGATCTTTCTTTGTATGGTATATAGACTTGATTCAACATTTTATTGCACACTTGCCACATTATCATCATGAAGAATTGTCCATTTGATGGGGAGTCAGGACTTTTAGAACTATTACTAATCACAGTATGATTATGGGAAGCCAATGGACAGTTTGTGTCTATATATTTCTTAAACAGAGCTAGGAAATGTAAAAAAAAATGTTTTCAATGATGTCCAATAATTCTTCCTGAACCAGCACATAAAATCATATTACTAGTCAACCTGTTTGTGCTGCAGCAACAGAATACCTGAGACTGAGTAATTTATAAGCAATAAAATTATTTCTCAGAGCTCTGAGACTGGGCGTTCCAAGATCAAGACACTGGCAGCCTCAATTGTCAGGCGAGGGTGGCATTCACTGGAGAGGAGGAGCCCATGGCAGAGGTGGAAGGTCACGCCAGCCAAACTTACATATTATATTTGTGTCATATACACGTGTAATATCATATGAACAATATATTCCATTATATGAAATTACTTTGTCAATTTTCTTGATGTTAGGTGACAAGTGGGCCAAGTCAAGCATCCTAACTATATAAACAAGTGTGGGAATTGCTTGAGATGGGACAGTGAGTATCTACAAGAGATATATCAGGAAGTGTATGTTGTGAATTAACGTGTTTCAAGCTGCATGTTGTTCATCAGATTACTTAAATTTTTTAAAAAAACTTTGGAGACATTTTATAGATTAGCAGCTTGTAAAAAGTAGAAAATAAAAAATTATTTGTCTAGTTGTCTTAAGCTAAATGTCTGAGAGTGGTATTAATAGAGAAGGCAGAAAGAATTGTGGAGTCTCAAGGTAAATGAAGGATGTATGAGAACAAAGTAGGAAGAAATTTAGAATATTAAAAATTGTAGAAGTTCAGACCAGAAAAATGCATGTAAGAGATGCCTCTAATCAGTGTTCTAATGAACAGCCATTAGAACTATTTTGTGAGCTTTAGTTACCAAGCAGATTCTTGATAATTTTGACAAACAAGCCACAACATTTACACTACCTTCCCTTAAATTCTTTTATATTTTCAACAATGACAAAAATACTTTTTGAACATCGACTGCATGACAGGTCCTATTCTCAGGTTTTTGGATACATACATAGTGTTAAACAAAGTTCTCTGTTCTTTTAGAGCCTGCATCCTATGAAGAAACACAGATGATGTAAAAAAAATGATAAGTAAGAGAATATTAGACTATGATAAACGGCTAATATAGAGTGAGGGTAAAGGAGATTAAGACTATAGATGAAGGAGGGTGGTGATTTTTTAAAAAGTAAGCACATTAAGCCTCCTTAAGAAGGTGATTCTTGTACAGAGACTTGAAAGAGAGATAAAGAAAACCCTGCTGCCTCTCAGTAAGAATCATTCAGTAAAGGAGTAGAATCACAAAGCCTCGAGGTGGAAGTATGTCTGATGTGGTTATGAAACCATAGAGAAGCCAGAGTCCTGTGTGCAATAAGTGAAGACTGGAGAAGTAGGAGAGAGCACAAAGAAGTGAAGGGGGCTAGAGTGTGTATGCTACTCTAGGCAATTTAAAAGGCATTTTGTCCTTTTGTTTTACTTTGCTTTTCTCTGAGACATGACAAGTCCAGACACATAATCTGACTTAAATTCAATAGAGTCCCTCTACTATGACTGAAAATGGACTATAGAAGGACAAGGATAAGTAGGAGACTGCTGGAGCATTGCTCACGACTGCAACCCCAGTGGCTCGGGAGGCTGATGCAGGAGGATCACAAGTTCAAAGCCAATCTCAGCAACTCAGCAAGGCCCTGAGCAAATTAGTGAGACACTGTCTCAAAATAAGAAATAAAAAAGGACTGAGGCTGTGGCTCAGTGGTGGAGTAGTCCCCCTGGGGAAAAAAAAAAGAGTAAGAGACTATTCAAAATTATTTCTTTATGTGCTTGGGATATAGGTCAGTGCTTGTCAAGCACGTGTGAAGCCCTGGGTTTAATCCTCAGCACTACATAAAAGAAAAACAAAAGTTTTTTTTTTTTTAATTATTGCTATAACCCAGGCAAGAAAGATAGTGTTCATTAGTCATTGTTTTTTATTTTGTATATTTTATTGGTGCATTATAGTCACACATAACGGTGAGATTTGTTGTTATATATTCATACATGCACACGATACAACTCATATGTTGACCAATATTATTCCCCAGTATATTCACTTTCTCTTCCCTCCTTTTTACCCCCTGTTTTTTTTCCTCTCCTCTCCCTTCAATTCAGGAGATCTCCCACATCTTTTCTTTTCCTTTTTCCTCTCTACCTTCCACATATGAATTAAAACATATAATTCTTAATTTAAATTTAAAATAAGCAACTTATAAGTGGCTTATTTTACTTAACATAATGTTCTCAAGTTTCATTCATTTTCCTGCAAATGATATAACTTCATCTTTCTTAGATGAATAAAATTTCATTGTGTATATTTACCACATTTTCTTTATCCATTTTTCTGTTGATAGACACCTAGGCTAGTTCTATAGATTATCTGTTGTGAATTGTGCTGTCATACACAAGGGTATGCTTGTATTACTATAGTATGATGACTTTAAATCTTTAGGATAAATACCTAGGTAAAGCTGGATGATATGGTGGTTCCATTCCTAGTCTTTTGAGGAATCTTGATACTGATTTCCATAGTAGTTATATTAACTTATGATCTGGCCAAAAGTGTAAAAGTGTTCCTTTTTATCCATATCCTCTCTAGCACTTATTATTATTTGTATTCTTGATGACTGCCTTTCTGATAGAAATGAGATGAAATCTCAGTGTAATTTTGATTTTCATTTCCCTAGTTGGTAAAGATATTAAGCATCTTTTCATATAATTGTTGGCCATTTTGTATTTCTTTTTTTGAGAAGTACCTGTTTAATTCTTTCCCCCATTGATTAACTGGGTTATTTGCTTTTTTGATATTAAATTTTTTGGGTTCTTTATATATGCTGAATATTCTCTGCCAGAAGATTCACTAGTGAAGATTTTCTCCCATTTCATAGGTTCTTTCTTCACATTCCTAGTTGTTTCCTTTGCTATATAGAAGCTTGTAAATTTTATTCCATCACATTTATTAACTCTTGGCATTATTTCATAAACTTTAGGGGTTCTATTGAGAAATTCATTTGTCCATGACTGTATGCTGTAGTATTGATTTTACATTTTCTTCAAGGAATTGCACAGTTTCTGGTCTAATTCTTAGGGCTTAGATCCATTTTTAGTTGATTTTTGTGCATCATGATAGATAAGGATCTAGAGTCATTCTTCTTTGTATGGATAACCAGCTTTCCCAGCACCATTTGTTTAAAAGGTTGTCTTTTCTCCAATGCATGTTTTTGGCACCTCTATCAAGGATCAGATGATTGTATCTGTGTGGGTTGGTCTCTATGTCTTCTATTCTGTACCATTGTTCTATGTGACTGTTTTTATGCTAGCATAGCACCTTGCAGATTTTGTTACTATAACTCTGTAGTATATTTGAACTCAGGTATTGTGATCCTTCCAACATTTAGTTATTCTGGGTCTTTTATTCTTCTAAATGAATTTTAGGACTGTTTTCTTATAGTTCTGGGGAAAATGCTATTGGTATTTTGTTGGAATTTGCATTGAATCTGTATTTTGCTTTTGGTAGTATGGCCATTTTAATAATATTAATTCTGTCTAGCCATGGACATGGGAGGTCTTTCCATCTTTTTGTGTCTTCTTGAATTTATTTCTTCAATGTTCTCTGTTTTTCATCGTAAAACTTCACCTCCTGATTAGATTTATTGCTAGATACTTTTTTAAACGGCTATTATAAATGAGATTGTTTTTTCTGACTTCTTTTTCACAAATTCATTATTGATATGCATGAAAAATATTAATTTTTTGTATGTTGATTTTTTGACCTGCTACTTTGCTGTTTTTTTGGTTTGTTTTTGTTTGTTTTTCTCTAGTTGTATTCTTGTGGATTCCTTTGGATCTTCTAAGTATAGGATCATATCAGCAAACAGTGATAATTTGACTTCTTCCTTTCCTATTTTATCCTTTATTCCTCTTCTCTTGCCTAATTGTTTTGGCTAGAATTTCTAGTACTATTATTAAATAGAAGTACTAAGATTAGATATTCTTTTGTTGTTCCAGATTTTAACGTAAATGCTTTCAGATTTTCCCATTTATTTGGCAGGATTTCATTTTTTTCTATAAGATCCTTTATGATGTTGAAGTTGGTTTCTTATATCCCTAGTTTCTTCAGTGTTTTTACGATGAATGGATGATTAATTTTATTAAAGTCTTTCTCTACATCTGTTGAGATGATCTTTGTGATTTTTGTCCTTCATTCTATTTATGTGATGAATTACATTTAATTATTTACATGTGTTAAACTGTCTTTGCATCACTGTAATAAAACCAAC